GCTCTGGGAAGGCCCAAGAGCCTGCACGGTATAGGGTCCCCAGATGCTGATGTGGCTTGCCTGGGGAATACCTGAAGCCCTCCCACAAGCTTACACACTGTGTTTATAATATGAGAGGCCCATTAGACAGAGGTGATGGAAGGAAGAAAGGATATGCAGGAAGCCAGGTAGCAGCCAGGAGCCTTTGGCTTGTATTTCAGAGAAGCATCCTCCGGCTGACTGGAAATATTAATCTCTGTTACTGCAGAAATTGTTAAAGGGATTTTTATCATGACCACCTAAATCCTGAAATAAACGAGAGCCTTACCTTGGATGACAGTAAAGTTCTACCTTCAGGATATGTGCCAAGCTGCTTTTAATGAAAACAAACAAACAAACAAACAAACAAACACCAGAAACTCAACTGGGAGGGGTGTGGGCAGGGAAGAATTCAGTTTCTTTGAGGGACTGGCTACTGGGAGTTTGACCATGCTCCAGTGAGTATCCGGGCAATACAAATTGGACTTGGTGTAAATTTTTTTTTTTTTATATCCATCATTTTTTAGGCGTCAGGGAATCACAGGTGGGCAGGCAGACCAGGGAGGACTAGGAAGTGAGTGTGATCAGGGTGTAGGATGTGAAATACTCAAATAATAAATAAAATATGTTGGAAAAAGTACCTTGTGTGTTTGATGTTTGTGTGCGTGCACACATAGGTTCTAGCGTAGGACCACAAGTGCGCACATGCCACAGTGCACATGTAGAGACCACTGAGCAACCCCAGGGGTCTGCCCTTGCCTTCTACCTTCTTAAACACGGGCTTTCTCTTGCATTTTGCTGCTGGTGAGCAGGTTTCTAGGGATCCCTCCGTCTCCACATGCCGGTTACAGGCACAGGCTGCCGAAATGCAGTTTTACCTGGGCTCTGATGAACCCAGGTCCCCATACTTGTGTGGCACGTGCTTCACTTTGTGAACCAACTCCCCAGTCCAACTCCCCAAAATAACCCCATAATTTTGATCATGGAAAGTCCAGGGGGGAAAGTCTGCTTTGAGAAAATTGTTGTTCATCAGCGAGAGACTTTTTTTTTTTTTCATTTGGGAGATGAATTATTAAGATGTAGATTAAAATGAAAGTCAGAAACTACAGAGGTCTGGTCTCTGTACTCAGGCTTTCATTCCATGGGGTAGAGACCAATTCAAATCCTCTAGACCAGAGTTTCTCAACCTGTGGGCCACGACTCCTTTGGCAATCCTCTATCTCCAAAGATATTTACACCACAATTTAAAACAGTAGCAAAATAATAGTTATGAAGTAGCTATGAAGTAATGTTACAGTTGGAGGGGCCAACACAATATGAGGGACTATATTAAAGGGTCTTAGCATTAGGAAGGTTGGGACACTGCTCTAGATGCAAGCACATAAGAACAAAGATGTCTACATAAGCATCTAGTGGCATCGACTGAAATGTGTCTCAGTATGCTGTGTTCTAGAAATTCACACAATTAATACATAGACTTAGCAGAGAAACGGCGTAAGACATCTCCCTGAGCCTTTCTCTAAAAGCCACACACAGTGTTACCTATTGTTTTTAAATCTAGTTTAACCTTACTGTTATTCTTTCAATGTACAAAACGAAAATATGCCCATGCATATATGTAACCACACATGGTATCCGGGAAGGGTTACTGCGCTAGGAATAGGCTTGTTAATCCTATGTGTGAGACTTGCTGACTCTCTGTGAGCCTAGGCCTTGACCACTCGGTTACCTTTAAGACTGAAGTCCCATGTTTTCACTACCTTTAGTGACTCTGCATTGTTCTTTGGATTAAGCAGGCTCATCATCTCCTCAGGAAAACAAACCTGCTCTCAAGAGGGATGGATACTGAGCCTGAGATAGCATGTTTCACTGTCTGTAACTTCTATACAATAATATTCATAAATGTATCAAAGAAGACATAGCTGTATTAATAGCTTCAAGAGGTGTGATGAAGTTTAAAAGTCTATTGGAAGCGGCCACCAACCTCCCATGTGTGAGGATTCCACTGTAGGAATTTGTGCTTCAGTCCAAGTGTTTAGAACCATAGTAAAAATATTGCCCGTTACAGACATAAGATCAACACCACTGATTTCTGAGTAATAACTGCCACTTGCTCACAGAATCAGAGCACAATGGCAATCTACCATGAGGGGCCCAGCCAGTCACAAATCTAAAGCATTAGTCAAAGCAAGTGTTTATGAATGGGCTACAGTCTCCTCACCCAACATAGTTAGAAAATAGTGAAATGTGTAATAAGGGTGCACGTGGGGTGCCCCATACTTCAGTCAGTAAGGGCAAGGAGAACTTGTCTCAGATTCCAAATACTCTATCATGGTGCACACACAGTCACAGGACAAAGATATCCTTGAAAGCTTTTCTGCCTGCGTGGTAGATGGCAGTAACTGCAGAGACAGCTGATCATAGCGCAGAGACTTAGCATCTGTGAAGTCCTTAACCACAGTGGGTCTCTAGATCATGACTCCTGATCACCAAACTCAGGGAGCATCATGGGAGAAGGGGTAGAAAGAGGGGAAGATGGAGGAGAACGCTGTGAAACCCTGTCTGTTGGACACTCCATAGCCACAGCACTCATGAACTCATGAACAGCTCACTCATGAACAGCTGGGACTATGTGCACACAATCAATCCAGTCAACAGTCCAGCAGGGATGACGGAGGGGAACCGAGGAGGAGCTGTCGCAAGCGGATGGGTACTCTGGGAGGGAGTCGCTATTTTCAGGTTAAGTGGCTCTTGTTAGGTTGGGCATGTTCCACCGGATGGCTCCAAAGTTGTGTATATGCAGGCAACACAAATCGGACTCGATGGATTGTTAACAAAACAAAAGACATGAAATTGGATGGCGGCATGTAGGGAGGAGTTAAAAGGAGACAGCCTGGGTATAATGAAAACATGTATATATGCAATTCTCGAGAATAAAAAGTATCAACCATATCTGTGAATGTGTGCTCACGGTATTTAGCTTTGTGAACAAATAGATTTAGTTTCCAGTTTAAGCAGTGATACAGATTTCCTTTAAAAGTATATGTTTTGAAAAAAACCAATTTTCACATGGAGTGTTATCAAAGAGTAAAGCAATGGGAAAGTTCTAGATTTCACTAAAAACTGTGAAAGCCTGTCCTAACAGCCTGGTGCTATACCTTGCTACCAGTCAGCCATTGGCCTCAAGATGGTTCACAATTTTACAGGCTTTCCTGAGTTACCAAGTGAAAACACTATCACTCAGGAACATGATAAGTTCACTCACAAGAAAAACCTGAATTCTTCTATACATGATAGAATAAAATTGGCAGAAAGGAAACATTTCCTGAAAATAAAAAGGACCGTCAAAAACTAGCTCACCTGGTAAGCGTTACAAAACCTTGCTCTGTTTATAAACACATATATCAGCGTCTGTGGCAATTGAACAAACACAAAATTCAGACAGATACAATTAAGTATGCATACTGGATTCTCTTGCCTGTAGATCTTAGGTGAAGTCTGAGGAAACAGTGTCCAAGTTATTAGCATTTTTATCACAAAAAGAAAAAGCTGTTTAATAAGGCTCTTTGTTTTGACTGTAGGCTTTACGGTCTTATATCCTCATGGAGGCTGATTCTCAAATGAGTGATCAGCCTGGTAAAACGTTAATGTACCCACAGAGACTCTGAAGCATCGTTATTTAATGTGGTGATGTGAAATAGGCAACTGAGCTTTAGAAATGCATGGTTTCCTTGCAAGGAAGAGCAAGGTACCAATAGCAACCTGGCTGCCTGCCTCCCTGGCTGAGGCCCTGTACCTGGGGTGACTCACAGACCTCCAAGGCTGCTGTCATTCCCAAGCAGAAAAGCTATTATTACCTGGATTTGTTTATAGCAAGTAAATGTTAACCCCACATGAGGTAAAAATCTGAAATGATCCACAAAGTTTAAGATGAAATTAAGAGAAAATTTTCTTTTATACATGTTGCAGATTCTTAACCAGGCCTGTTGTATTAATACATTCCAGTTCCAAATTGAATTGAAGAAAATTTCACATTGAAAAGTTTCCTATGGGTCATCTCAGACTAGAGTTTGGTGTTCCTTGATCTTACCTGATGGATAAGTTAAGATGCTTCAATTTTACAAGGCAAAGCAACCGATTCTTTTAACAGAGAAGTGAATAAAGCATGCTTTCCTTAGAAGAGCCCAAAAGGATTGAGGAAAAAGTACTTTTCGGAGCCAAAGCTTTCTAGGGGTATACATGGAGTTACATTTTACTTGTTTTAGAGAAGTTTCACCCTTAGCAGATATCACAAACTGAACCCTTGCCAAGCAAGTTAGCAAGCAGACTCTGAGTAAAAAGCTTTAAACTCAGCCTTACAGAGTCCTGGCCCCAAGGACATTGGTTTAAGCTGGGGCCATTTTCTCTCCTCTAACCCATCTGGGAAATGTCTGTCACCGTTAAGCTGGGACACTGTCGTGAGATGACTTTCGTGGGGTTTAGGGGATCAAACCCAGGACCCCAGGGCCCATGGCAGGTTTCCATCTGACCTCGCTCTATTTCCAGTTCCCGAGACAGCGCTTTCAATCTCATCAAATCAGTCCCTAATCCAGACTTGTAGAAAACCCATGCTGAACTAATCTGAAAAGCTGCCTCTAACCAATTGGTGATGATTTATTTCTACACTGTGATCTATGGAAGGGCCTGGAAGGGCACAGTTTTATTCCATTCTGCTGAAATGAAATGAATACAGGCAACATAAACGGCTTCCTCTTCTGTGGGAGCTGACTGCCCTGGATGCATAAAGACACGCTCTGTTCTCCAAGCCTTCAGTAACATACGATCACGTCTACTGCTCTGCACACATCCACACCCTACAGCCTCGATGACACCAGAGGGCATTCCTGGCCAGAGGCATCCATGCTCCCCTTGACATTTTCTCTGACCCGGGTTCAAAAACTGCTCATACAGGACAAGATGAGGAGGAGAAAACAGGTCCTTACCCTGATGAAGAGGATCTTCTCTCCCACCCGGTATCGGCCTTGAGAGAGCCGCTCCACACAGAACTTAGTTGGGCACTTGCAGGGAGGATCTTCAGAGATTCTTTTCACCTGAAATAGAGCAGCATGCATGGTTATTGTCCACAGTAAAACCGCCTGTGACTGCCCTCCAAGAGTTCAAACGTGGCTCTTGATCTTAAGTTGATCACTTAAGGCTTGTTCTATATCAGAAACTATGTGAGCATAGGGACTGTGGTGGTTTGGATCCCATAGACTTGGAACAATTAGGAGGTGCGGTCTTGTTGGAGGAAGTGCGTCACTGTGGGGGTGGGCTTGGAGGTCTCATGTTCAAGCTAGGCCTACTATGGCAGTCTTTCAGCTGCCTGCGGATCAAGATGTATAACTCTAAGCTCCTTCTCTAACACCATGTCTGTCTGCATGCCACCATGTCCTGCCATGATGAAAATGAACTAAACCCCTGAAACTGTAAGCCAGCCCCAATTAAATGTTTTCCTTTGTTGTGGTCATGGTGTCTCTTCACAGCAATAGAACCCTGAGACAGGGAGCCTGGCTGAATTGTGAAGACCAGAGTCTGGAGGCAACTTCTGAGGTTCTGAACTTGCAACTGATGGTGACACTGATGATGAGGACAGGTATCAGATGAGATCAGCTGGCATGGCAGTAGCCATGAGCTGCCTGTGGGGTCCATACAGCAAGAGCATTGGAAGGTAAAATACAGCATGCATAGGCTAACCATACTGAGGGCTAGGGCATGGGCACTTGACAAAGAATGTTTCTTCAATATAGTCCTACTATACTAATCCATTTATGTTTGAAGTAAATGAAGAACAAATTATTTTAGGAAACTCTTCTCTGGTTTTGCTTGAAACTCTTGAGATTTTTCTCCTGAAATTTTACCATCAGATCACTCAGATTCATCTGCATTTCAACCCTCTTAGGTATCAAATGTCTTAGCTGACATTTAAAATGAGTAATTAAAACATGAATCTGATTAATATGCTTTCAGAGTTCTCATAAACAGGCATGAATACTATAAATCTTAAGACATATCTTCAGGAAAATTATTTGTTTTCATAATCCAAACTCCTAGAATGTCTTTAAAAGAGAAAGTTTTTTTTTTCAGACAATCCAGAGGAACCCAAATAGCTTATATGTTCAATGTCAATATTTCATCCATAATTCCTTTGACCTATAATCATCTATTAGTAGCCACCATGTTGTAAATATAAGATTAATTCAACAGTTATGAAAGTCAAGATACTTACAGTTGACCATCAAGAAATCCAGCCTATATTTATTTATTTATTCATTCATTCATTTACTCTGTGTTTATATGTATGTCAGTATATGGTATATACACACATATGTCCATGGTGTGTGTGTGTGATGGATGACACTAGGTGATCCCTTCTATCTCTCTCTGCCTTATTCCCTTGAGATTGAGTTTGTCACGGAACCTAGAGCTAGTGACCAGCAAGCACCACGGGTCTTGTCTTCAGCTGGGGTTACAGGACAGGTGTGATGGTCTTTTTATGAAGACCTCATGCTTGATCAGTAAGCACTCTCAAATTTAGGCCATCACTCAAGACCTCCGACATAATTTTTAATGATATAATGACTGGAATTCAATCACTCATTTACCAAGCAAAAACCATGGGGGAAGTAACTTATGAACTCCTTTAACTTTTGTTATAAAAGAATTACACGATGGTTTTGTTAGCATATGATAGGTTCAAGAAGTATGGAAGTAATACATACCTGAGTGAAAACCAGGCATGGTGGAGAAATGCAAGGAAAAAAATTCTTTTCTTAAGAACAACCAAAATGTGCCTCAATGATGCAAACAAATTAATCCTATTTTATTTTGGAAGCGAAAGAACTAATTCAATACGCACATGCCCATCCGTCTCTTCTCACATCCTAAAATTTTCCAACAACACAAGATGGGAGAGCCTAGAGAATTAATACTGGTCAACCATACCATCTCCATGATGGCTTTAGTTCCTTAAAGGTTAAGATAATCTTTTATCACATCTTAAACCCTAGACATAAAACATAGCACTCTAAGGGAACAGTGATGGGAGATGTCATTCTGTATATGTTTCTCATACTGGTTAATGAATAAAGCACTGTTGGCCAATAGGAAAGGGAGATAGGAGGGACTAGGAGACAAGGAGGAAAGAGGAAGGAGTAAGGAGGAGTCAAGATGGAGAGACTGGAGAAGGCAGAACTGCCAGCCGCCTCTCGCTGGTAAGACCACGTGGAAATACATAGAAATGGGTTAATACTTAAGACAGAGCTAGCCGATAAGAAACTAGTAACTGGCCAACAGCATTATATCAAATACAGAGTCTCAGTGCATTAATTGGGGCAGGCGAGGCGGGACAAGACCAGCGGCGGGTGGAAAAACCATACTCCTTACAGAACAGAAGAGTTTAACAGATGGACATCGGGTGCATTCATCATCATAATAACAATGAAATAGATCTTCACAGGACACACGAGGAAATCGCCGGGTCAGAGGAGGCCTGGGTCCAGATGGCCTTAAAGACAACGTTCACTAAAGAAGGAGGGAACAGCTATTGTCAAGTTAGTAATCAGGCCATGGATTGCAAATCTGAGTTTCTGCCATCTTGTTATGGTAATGCTAAAGCAAATGGCAGAAATGATGTGAAATAGTAAAGCAATCCCTTTCTGAACTAGCCATGAGGCCAAGGGTCTGGAGTGCATCTATGCACGATTTTCAGTGCTTTTCTGCACATCTTTCTTCCTACAGATGTTTTGTAAAATGTCACATATACATAAGGTAGTAATGAGTAAGGGTGATATGAAGAAGCAAGGAGACAGTGATGAGATCTTTGTCACCTAGGAGACCAGAGAGCAACAAATTCACGGCCCAAGGCACTGCAACTTACTGAGCAAATTCTCTACTTAAGGAAAACCCTGAGTCTGTATGGGCAATATCCATCTGGCAGGATCCTCAGAAAAAAAAAAAAAACACAGATCCTATTAGTGGCAAAGTAGCACAAGAAACATTTTCTCAAGTGGCCTGCCCTTTCTTCGCCTTCTTCACTACAAAAATAGACTTGTTTGTTTGTAAATCAAAGGCTTTTTTTTTTTTTTTCCTTTTTACAGTTGTGTCAGGGGCAGATGCAAATGCAGAAACAGAAAAGGGCAGCCCAGGGCCAGTGGAAACAAGTTGTTATATTAACAGTGGATGATGACAGCCGGGCTTCTTACATTACCAGGAGGTAACTCTGTCCGCCCGCCAGGTGCTCTGCTCTTGGATCAGAACCCAGCCGGTTTGGGGCTGAAATGAGATTTCAAGAGGGGCCTGGTTCCTCAGAATCATGCTATCTTTCATTCCCAGATGGAGGAAGTTGATGAAGAGAGGGGAGACAGTAAGAGTCATTTCTTAGAACTGCATTCAACTCCCTGTGAGAGCAAGCTCAACACAAGGGAAGGCAAAGAGGCTGCTGGGCCGACCTCAAGCCTATTGTGGCTGGATCAGGACGTAGGGAACAAAGCAATCTGAATGGGCCCTGCTGTGTTTCCTCCGTGAGATCTTGATTAAGGAAGGGGGGCTGTATTGTCCACATGAAAGGTCACCTATTTCCCTGCAGTTCCCCTAAGAATCAGACAAGAAAATGTGAACCAACAAAGGTGGCTTCAGTCCTGGCTCTTTCTGAAGCCCTCTGCTGCAATGCGACCCTCTTGGCACGGGCCTCCCTTCCTTTCTCAATCTTCTCCATTTCTGTTTCCTCTGCTTCCTTCCTTTACTCTTCCATACCCTCCTTTTTATCTTTCTTCCCTTTTGGGGGTAGCATATGATAACTTTGCACAAAACAACCCAGTGCTAATTACACATGGGAGCTTAGAGAATCATCTTTTTTTTTTTTTTTTTAATTCCTTTTCTCCACACATTTATTGTGTTACATCAAGTTCGGTTCTAAATGGCTGCATGTGCCCGGTGTATGGTAAAGTGGTTGTAATGGTAACTGTTCCCTTTTTACCTTAAATAAAGGGGTCTGATTTAAACCATTGATGACACTCAAATTACTTTCCCTTCTGCCCCATTTTCTGTGAGATAAAATATTTCAGTGAAAAACCATCCCTTCAACATAATGCCAAAAAAATCGTTGTAGACTGAAGAATGGGAGAAACTGAAAAACAGGTTCATGTTCTAGTATGCTGGAGAACTCCAGGTGAACTAGCTCTTTTAAGGAGTTCAGCAGAGCCTGCGTGATGTTGGCAAGCTCTCTGAATGCCAGGCAGAGACAGCAATACTCTGCCTTTCTTAATACTAACCTTATCTTTCCCCAAGGGCGCTGGAGTGGTAGTGTTGCTTTAAGCATTCCTTGAGAAGTGCTAGTCTTAAGACTAGCAGTCTCCCTGGCAAGAGGCAGAGATGTGTGCACCCAGCACTGTAAATGTGTCTACTAACACACATCCCCCATTAAACCGATAGTGATATTCTCAAGGTTCATCTGAAGCGCCCCCATAGCTTTCAGCTGGAAGAAGAGACCTCAGCGCCACAGCTTGAGAGCCCTGCTGTCTTCGGTCTCTGTTTTGCTGGTCTTTTGCTCTGAGTTAGAATACTGATGAAACAGGCTCCTATCCCTCTCAGAGTTACTCTGCACCTTGGGGGTTCCCTTTCCCAAGGATGAAGGATGGCTGGCCACGAGACAAGGTGGTGAAGAAATGGGAGCGTCCCTGCTCCTTCCCCAAGGTTCTGACACGAGATCTCAAATGACAGCACCTATTTCCATCTGCAACACAGGAGCGCGGATGGCATGCACTTCAGAAACATGGCCAAATACAGAGAGGAGGCTTCACACGGAGCGTCTGCAACGCGGAGCTGGGTAGGTGGCAAATGGCACACATTTCAGAAGGCATGATCGAACGCCGAGGACAGGGAGGTGACTTTTCATACTGAGCGCCATACCAGGGAGCTGGGTAGATGTAGACTAATAAAGCACCGTACCTGCCTGTGAAAATTAGACTATGTCTTGAGAGGAATGGACACTTAGGCCTCATTAACAACTGCTTCATTGCATACTTACAAATACTTTTGACAACGATAAGGAAGCTGCAACATTGGTGAGAAATGCCAAGAAAAATCTTCAAGTGTGGACTGGAGAAATGGCTCTGTGGGTGAAATACTTGCCATGCAGATACGAAAACCTGAATGTGGATCCTTAACAGCCATGTCAAAAAAGGAGGAGGAGGAGGAAGAAAGGGAAAGGCAGCACATGTCTATAACTGGGTGGGAAAGGAGGCAGGAAGATCCTCACAGCTCTCTGGCCAGCTAGTTGGCCTAAAACAGTGCGCTCCAGGTTTACTGAGAGGCCCTGTATAATAATTAAAAAAAAAGTAATGAGTTATAAAGAATTCTAATGTAGGCCTCTAGCCTCTGCATACATGAACACACATGTGAACATACACACACTCCCCCCAAAGGTACACATACACACAATCTTTTATGGAAGCGGCAAAAACTAAAGATTAAAAGAAAAGTATAAAGAAATATGTTGAAGAACTGACAGGCGCTATCTTAGCGTGGACGAGGTGCTTCAAAGGACAAAGAGTTGGAATACACACTGGGCCCTAACAAGGATGGCATGGGAGGCGTCATTTGGGCAGGGCTTCAGGTGCATCCCAGAGGACCCTATGATAATACTAATCTAACAGTCAAACTTGCATCCCGTCACAGCCTGCTGGTTGCGGGGATACTGGCATAGAGGAATCAAGAGTCTATGGTGAAAGAAAGCAGCAGTAATAGTAGACACGGGCCCTATAATGAGAGCTGCGAGACTCCCCCTGGCTGAGTAATTAACAAGGATAGGTAACGCTAGCCAGACACCGTTCAGGCCAGGCACCGTGGTATAGGGAGGAAGGAATGTGAGTAGATGTCAAGGCTGACAGAGGGGGGGAGCAAGAATGGGTATGGCAGCCCTGAGACACGTTTGTAAGAAGATGGGATTCATGCTAAGTCTAAAGAAAAAGCATAACACACTACGGGAAAAGTGACTCTTAACATAAACAGCGCGCCTTCATTATCATATAACATCATCCAATTACAAACTTTGAAAATGAAGAAGCAAGACATGTGACTGGTCCTAAAAGGATTCCAAAACACCTTCCTGTGGCATGAGAGCTCCCTGGCTCACTCCCGAGTGGAGTGAGCGGCTTTTAAAAACAAATTCAGATTCAAGTGTACTGTATGAGACGCCGTTGTGGGCTAAGCTTAAGTCTGCTGCCTTTGTAGGGACTCACAGCTACTCAGGCAGTTGTTAAGTTTCTGATTTTTAAAATGTATCATGTGGAGAAAAGCAAACGATGGTGCAAGTCTTCTCCTGCATCTGGAAGCGCCCATCAACCACCCTTCCACTCTCTTTCAGCTCAAACCCTCCAGAGGGATGCCTGCAGCTCGGGCAGCCTGCATCCTATCAATGGCCAGCATAAAGATGGCTGGCCAGTCTTCCAAGGACTTTGCTCTCTCTGGCAAGACTATTCCAGTCTTAGGCCTCTCATACAATTATAACCAGTATATGCAAACTTTATATAAGCAACATCAAGACAACTCACGGCTTCTTTTGTTTATTAATGCCTTCTTGGATTTAAGATATGAGCATGGGAATAATTATCTAACACATCATTACAATGAGCAAGGGTTGTTTAATATACCTAGAAACTGCTTATCCTTATAATGAGGATGTCACTGAAGTATGACCTAATCACTAAAAGCCTATGCCTAGAGGACTGCAGAGTAGATAAATCCCAGAATTATACAGACACCCGATAGAACCTAAGCTCCTCTCTTAGCATCACAAAACGTCCAATCTCCACTCCCTCTATTAGCAAGCTTCCTTTCAGACAGAAGAGCTCTCAGGAAGAAATGGTCAACTCTGGCCAATACCAGGCAATCAATAAAGTACGGTCATCTTTCTGTAAGATGCAGTGTCCCCTTCCTCAACCACCCTCAAGATTCTGTGCTTCAGGTTTATATCCATGAAAGGAGGAACAGGGAACAGATAACAACAAGGTTTAAGTGTTTTCAGAGACGCATTTCCTTGGGTTTCAGATACCGTTCAATGGAATTAAGTGGCACTTTGCTTTAAATCACTGGTTCGGCTTGAGTTTCAGGATGAGCTGTAGGAGCACAGATTTTCTCACTGAGTTAAAATGAATTCAAAGGAACTGAAATGCGGTAAGGTCAGACCGATCCGAGAAGGCAGGGGGAGGTTTGTAGTCAGGGAAAACGAAAAACAAGAAACGCTGTCAAGACTTGTAAGCTACACTTACTGCATCGTCCAGCAGGTTCCCAGTACTCTTCTTCCCTGAAGACTTGGATGAAGGAGAAGGCGAAGGAGACGGGGCACAGAGTGTCTCTTCTTGTTCAATTTCTTTTTCCAGCTTTATCAGGCCAGGAGGCTCCACACCATACCTTTCAAAAACATGAAACTGCTATCACACACATCTTACATCAGCGTAACAGCCATACAACATTCTGGATTGTGAGACTACTAACTACTGCCCTCTTACCATGGCATGGACTCTGTGACCCTAAGATGGAACCAGTATTCATGAATTAGCATCCTTGGAGCAGGGAAAAAAATACACGTAACTGCTGTGTAAGTGCACATGCATGGAGGTACGTGATATGATGTGAACATACTCAGTTTAGCATATTAGTGTCTCAGCAGGGAAATTAACTTCAACTTTAAAAAAAAAATAGAACTGACGATACTGGTGCTATAATTAAAGTCTCATTTAAAATATAAGTTTGTTAATGATAGAGATTAAAACAGATGGTTGGTATCAAAATTAAAGCATCAGAACCCCAGTTAGATAAAGAAGTAACTGATTCTACAAAGCTGTTCATTTCTTATACACCGAGAGCAATACATGTAGGATATCACAAGCAAAACAGCACAATAAAAGCACAAACATTATTACAAGGAAAGGAAACAAGAATCATTCAGAACAACAATGTATGAACTGTACAGAAGGAGAGGGAGGGAGGGATGGGCAAGGCAGACCCTGATAGTGTATCTCCCACAATCGGGGTTTTCTTAATTAAAAATTAAAGATGTACTGGGTTTTATAGGTCCATATCAACTGGGCTTAGTAGGGGGCACCAAAGATAATTCTAGAACTTGACTACTGTGAGGCATTTAGAAAACAGTGTAGGCATACACTTTCATTAACAGAAAGATGAATATCTGCAGAAGACTGAGACAGGACAGAATCTCAAATGAGGGCGGCCGTTGTCAGTTTGTCGATATATTATTGTAAAGGAGAGAAAATACCGCTTGGTGATTAAAAGATCGTTGTGAACCAGTGTGGCAGAGCACACTTGTGTCCCCAGTACTTGGGAGATAGACACATGATGACGTTAAGTTTGGGACCAGTCTAGACTAGTTGGAGGGACCCTGATTCCAGACAAAACAGGAAGTTACACATAGGACAGAAAACAAATAGTCTATGAGCAGAGTAAATGCTTACACTGGGCTTATTACTTTTGGTTGAGCACTGTCAATTCAGGAGCCATTAGAAAACCTCGTGTGTGTCCTCCTGCTGGGGTTTGCTACTCAACAGATGTCACTGCACATAAGTGCAGTGCAAATTTCTAGGGAGGGAGTTTTCTTCCTGGTCATGTTTTGTCCGCACAGAGGGGGCCCAGTTGGTTTAATTCCTGGCCTCTTAGCTCATTACCCACTCCTCCCCCTGAGAGGGAAGGGCATGGTTATGTTGATCATGCGTGACTTGGTTTACAGTGCCAGGAAGAAGGACCCAAGCCCCAAACTGCTTCATCCTTGCTGATGGCCTAATTCTAGAGTCCAGTTATAGACACTCAGCAGGCCCTGATGACTGGAGCCTTTTCAGTCATAAAGGAAACACTTGATGATTTATCTGCCTTTCTTTTTTAATTTTTTTTCTCAGAATTTGAATGATGAAAAGGGCTCTGTGAATCCAATGCCTTTTGAGAGCTGCAAAGCTTATGTAAGAATTCAGGACAAATAGCTTACAGTGTTGCAAAAGCCTCTAATCTATTATTTTTGTTCCATAATGAGAAAAGTTGCACTAAAGATCTAGTCACCACATTTCACATTCCTAACCCTTTGTACTTATAAACCAATCAATGCATTGTTATAAGACACTCAATGCACTCCAGACTCTGTCACAGCAGAGGACAGCATGGCTGATTCACAACACCCCACAGCTCTTCTATGAACAGGCCAGAGGGACTTAGGAAGGCCACACTCTTAAGTGCTGTAGACATCTGTGGATTCTTAGCTCCAACAGGGTCTAAAACTCGCTTGTGTTGACTGTTCTCAAGAGAACAGTACAAACCTGGTTGTGAGTATGGAGAAATCCACCGTGATCCCAGCCAACTCCATGTCAAATGTAAGTGGAAATACCACATTTGAAAATATCAAAAAGATTGGAAAATATTTCGTTTTTAACTGAAGGTGGATAAAGGCTGATTCCCAAGAATAAATTGCAAACACTGTCTAAAAAAAATAGCAAATATGCTGTTCAAGTAGCAACAGGTTCAACTTGTGTCCAACACAAAACAAACAGGCCAGTTTGAATAAAACTGGTAACAAGCTCACTCATGGAAAATGTTTCCTTGGACATACTTCCTTACCCGGGAAAGCTGAAAACGAGCTGTGCTGCTGACACAGAGAGTCAGCACTGGTCCTGGAATTTTTGCTTACATTGGCTTTTGAATTTTTAAAGCTGTTCAGGGTAGAGTCGGCCAGTACTGGAATGCACACCTGAATATGACTCATTGGCTTCCTGTCAGTCTGGAGGTGTCAGCAGGCTGGAAATCATGACCCACCTCCAAGGATGGAGACTTGCATGTGCAAGCCAATTTAGCCATAAATGCATTTTCTGCTCTTCAAAGGCTGCCTTGGTTTAGTGTCAGTGATACCTTCTATATCTCTCCACATGTCCATTCTTTCTATAAGGTTTTCACAAATTAATGTTTCTCCTTCTTTTCCGAGAACGAGGTGTTAGAACGTTGAGGACAAAGGGGTTTCCTAATCTCAACTCCAATAGAGGTCTAACTGAAGTCACCAAGAATGCTGAATTCACTAAAGCCAAGTCCTGGTTCCTGCAGGGCCCAGAAATACAGACATAGCGCAAATACTCAGACGCTGGACACTTACTTTCATCTCATCAAAAAGTAACAAGTCAGGGAGTCTTGGGATGGGTGACTGCATGGGGAGGGTACGGGAATGGGTCTTGCACTTTTCTGGCACAGGATGTGGTGTTTGAGATTAGGCTAACTGAAATTATTACACCATCAAACTCATTCCTGACCCAGAAAATATATTCAAACTATTTAGTAGACTGTACTTTCCAACCAAAGACATCTGTGTTCCATTGTAGTAGGGTTGGGGGACAAATTTTACAGACTAATGAAACTCCCTCTTTCTAAGGCATGTAACAGATGGTACATAGAATCCTGCCAGATAATTTTGCCCCATTTTCCTTATTTTAGGGCAATGTAAACTTAGACGTGTATGAGGGAAATGCCCCAGCCATGGGAAACGACACATAAACTCCCAGCAGTCCTTGCAGATCCTCCACGTGAATCAATTAGTGATCTTAACACACGATCACGTTTCTTTTAAGTAACATTTCATAAGGCCATGACTGAAATTGAAGATTAAAGAAAATGTTCTCAAAATATTTCCTTTGAAGAGTTGTAAACTTATTCTGGATCAAGGAATACCAAAACCCAAAGATATGAGATGATGCAGTATGCTGCTGATACCCAACCCTGACACAAACTATCATCTCAGAAAACTTCATTCTTATCATGAATAAAACTGCAATCCTGTAATCTGAGAAGATGCTGAAATTTTCATCATTTCTTTCTTTATTTTGTAAAAGCCAATACTAAAATACTGGTCAAAGGAATCTTTTGACTTTGTTGAGTTGCTTTGGTTAATGTCATATATCTTGCATGCAGAAATGTATATCTTTTTGGAATACTAGCAGAAAAATGTTGCCTTCCGACAATGACAGCTCTGTTTAGTTAAAAACCAAAGACGTTTTGCCATGAGAATGAAAGTACTGTCAGCATCACACTGTCCAGATTAGCTCCAGTTCTTGACGGAGTACTGCCAAGTGTCTCCAGGCAGAAGAATAGAGCAGAGGCTCAGAAATACTCCCAGAGTCATTTATCAAGTGATGCTGATACTCTTAGGAGCATGCATGTGAAGTCTAGAGGTACCATTCAGAGTGGGCTATAAGAAGGCATTCCGTTTTTTAAAAATAGAAAACTCAAGAAATGTCAGGAACTTTGGCAAGATCAAAGTAATCTTTATGGAAGGAGAATGTGATTTCTGAGTGTGCTCTGAGAACCACTCCTAGTTTGAGCTGAAACTGCTAACATGTGTTAATTTGTGTGAGCTGAAACTGCTAACATGTGTTAATCTGTGTGAGCTGAAACTAACATGTGTTAATCTGTGTGATCTCCAGCAATGGATACAGGGGAGGCAGGAGTGACTTCAAGCGTCCAAATCTACTTAACCTGAGTCAGAGTTTATATGTGAAATGAGACGAGGTGTCTGTGTGCGTGCGTGTGTGTGCGTGTGTGTGTGTGCGTGTGCGCCTCTGTGTGTGTGTGTGTGTGTGTGTGTGTGTGTGTAGGGTGTCTTTCCTTCATGCTATCCTACTTCAGGAATTTCCAGTAAAACCAAACAAATATCTCAGATGTGTTCAGAAAGAAACAAATACAAATAGACATTTTTTTTTTAAACCTGTATAACAGTTTATCTGACTGGCCTGCAAGTTGGTTTGGGTAACAGGGTCCTTTCTTCAACTTCCTTAGCTGTAATAGCTATGATTACTTGTTTTTGTTCTCTCCTACATTAAAAATTTTAATAACACATCTTTCTATAAGCACAAAGGGGGCTGGACCAGACTAGTCTTGAACTCACAGAGATCTGCCTACCTCTGCCTCCCGAGTGCTGGGATTAAAGGCGTGCGGCACCAACGCCCAGCATGAGAAATAAATGGTTTAAGGTTAAAAGCATGCACTGCTTTGACAGAGGACCCATGCCTGGTTCCCGGCACCCACACAGGTTGACACAGCTGCCTATAACTTCAACTCCAGGGAATCTGACAACCTCTTTTGGTCTCTGCAGGCACCGGGCACCTGCACAGTCACAGACCTCCACAAAGACGTACACGCATACACTTACTTTAAAAATAAGAAAATAAATCTTATTAAAAAAAAAAAACTTGTGTCTTTCTTTGCTAACAACAGAAAATGACATGAAAATTAGCCCCATTCAATTGAGAAGTGAAAGCTCTGAGGGATTAAAAAAAAGAGTAAGAGAATCAGGATGAAGACTAAAATTATTAAACAGAAAACAAGGGATGAATGAATGGGGAGGGAAGTGTCACGCATAGCTAAGTGGCAATAAGCACTTCCTTCTTTTGCAGAGGGCCCACACCGGGCAGATCACAACTGCCTGTAATTCCAGTTCCAGGGAGTCCAATACCCTCTTCTGGAGTCTGGAGGCATCTCCACACACAGCACACAAGCAGACAAGCAGTCACACAATACAAACATAAGTAAAAATAAATGCATAAGCTTTAAAAGCACAGACGTTATACCCCATATCCCATCGAGATATGACAGGGAACGCACTTAATTAAATGATATCAATGTCATCTTAGGCAAAGACTGTCCTGGCCATATGGTTACAGTGTTGCGAGTACTAGAGGTGTTCTCAAGATGACCCAAGGGAGTCCATTTGCTAAACGGTTTCTTCGCATCCAGTTTGAATTTCAACAATGAGAAGCCTGAATGCTTTTGTTGCCTGAGATGTGCCTGTGCCTTGACATGATAGAGGAGGTCTTACCTACCTGGCTGCGATCCGGCCAAGCTCTAGCAAACAGAGACACACTTCTCGGGGCTGTTTGTGCAGAACTGGAAGACAAGGCAGATGTATACAACTTTACAACAGACCTCATTCCAAACCCTCAACTGAAGGTACTTTCTAAAACTCCACCTATACTGTGTCCCAAATCCTACTGGTCCAATGAGCTCTCACTGTAAAAACACTATCTTTAATTAGTTAATATTAGTAGATCCATATTGGATACACATGTAGCAGTAACTATGATATAAGGAAGAAAACTAAACATAGCACACACAAAATTATGTTGCAAGAATTAACCTTTTGGATACATTGGGTACACTCCCGATTCTTACATCAAATTGAATTAATAAGGATAGATTTATAAACAATGAGTCTTTGTTCACCTCCAAATAAAGGCAGACATCAAATGGGTCCTCCAACTTGGTGCTCCCTCCTATTCGATAATTGATGGTTTAGAAAGAGATACACCTCCCTGACCAGATTCTTAATCCGTGCGAATATAAACAATGTCACACCAAGTGGCATTGCCCATCAAATGAGCCACTGAGAAGCCTTTCCTGAGCTGCCACTTCTGTATTATATGACAGTATTGCACCATGAAACTGTTCTGTGGATGGGTTTGAGCAGTTCAGCAATGCAGACAACACTTACTTGCATTTCTGAGCCCACAAGAGGAGCTTGTTCTATCCTCCTAACCAAGGTTTGGGCATTTAAAAAATGTTATATTAAACACTGAATGAGATAATGTAACGAAATTTTACATGGAGAAAAGCCTTCACAAAATTATTATTCTATATTTACTTAATCTAAATATTCTAATTTCTTGTCTCCACTCATTATGTAATAGCAAAATTTAATCCAAAGATAACAACAGCATTTGTTTGGAGTAGATATGAATAGTAAATATATTTGTATTTGGGCTATTAAAATTTGTGATTTCATTTGGCATAAATGGACATTTAAATTAAGTATTATTATTATTTGTTTATAAAATGCTGCTTCTAAACTTTAAAAAAAAAAACCTCATCAGAAATGCTTACTAAAAACATAAGTTATCATGGAAAACCTGAAATAAAAAATATATACGTTACTAATAAGCAAAGTTTGGTTTTAGTTGACCAATGGAGAACTGTCACAAAGCCTCACTAAGGGAGCCTTGAACAGTTCCTAACTAACTAAAGAGTCTTTACATGAGTACACGGCATCTTCCAGGCGCAGATGCGCCAGCCACGTGCTGCTGGGATGACATGAAGCCCTAATGTGGTGAATCGACTTCAATGCAATTGCTTTGGAAATGTGATGTTACACCAAAAGTAATGTGCCAGAACGTTGACAGGCATCACAGAAACAGAAGCAAAATACTAAAACTGATCTACGACATCCGTTTCTTCAGATTCTAACTTTTTAAGTGTGACACTAAAATAACAAAGTGGAGCGCTGAGGGGGAACAAACGAGCGTGAGATGAGGAAGGAGGACTTTCAGAGCCCTGCTGATTCCTTCATCTTCACTGAAAGCTCCAGGGCCTTTAGGTATGACTTCAGGCATGTCTGGATGAAAACAGCATCAAGATGCTAGTGGCCAGAGGAAGTGTGTCCACTTGCAGGCAATGACTAACTCTAAAAAAAGCAATACCTCACACAACTGTCAGGAGTCCTGGCATTCCGACGACTTGGTGTGGAAACAGGAATATCACACAGAAATGAAATTTGATTTGAAGAGGACCAGCGATGGGGATAATATGAGAAATTTCATGTGAAGGATACATCATTATTACACATCACCTGGTTTCCTCATTTGTCAACAAGATAAGACATTTTGTATGCCAAACTTAAATGTTGACTCCACATAGAGACTTGTGAGAAAATCAGTTTGGCCTACTGGAGTAAGTTCAGCCACTGCCCTCCTCTCCCCATCATCATCTTAATACAACTGGTCCAGAGACTCCAAAAGAAACAAAACTCTCTAAGATGGGAGAGGATATGGAAAGGGGGGATGAATGAAAACAAAAAGGAGAGAGAGAGCCACAACAAGATCCATAACTATGCATAGAAACCTAAAAATTAACACAAAACACATAAAACAGAATGACATTTCTGAGGAGGAATTTCACAGAAAGCCTGAGCTTGAGTCCCAAGTTCTCATGGAATGGTTATCCTTATATAAAGCAATACTAAAATTGCTTCAAATTTTTATAGTTATAAATTATTGTCTTCTGTTATAAGGGCTTATTGAATATTGACTAGACTCCGACTAAAATGGTCCAAAATAAAACACTGAAAAGCAAAACAAAACTAAAAGTAGAGCAGACTAAGAAGAAAACACAGTGAATGACGACTTGCAGAACTGACTGATACACTGAGTTGCACAATGCGCAGTCTCCACATGTGTGAGTCCTCCACCACTTTATGGGGTGGAACGGCCTTGTGGGAATAGTTACTATAAAAAAAAATCGAGAAGGATAGACTGCCTAGCATTTTTAGAAATGATGAGAATTTAGCTTATTCAATAAGCAAAGCACACCACTGTAGAACCAGATTTAGAACCCTTCAGAAGCGTACGTGTGTGTACTAAACACAGGAGTCAGCCTTGACTTTGACCCCTCAGCAAGCTCTACTCTGAAGGGATGAGACCCAAAGAGGGCTGTGGGTGTGTATCCAAGCTGAAAGGTGTGGTGTGAGTGTGAGCCCTCGAGGGTGTTACCTGCATTATACGGGGGAGCAATTCTTGGAGTTCTCTGTGGGGAATTACATAAAATAACACAGTGCTGAGCATAGTACTCAGCACACAGGAAACACTGGCCTGTGGGCAGCTCTCCTCTTCATCATTACAGTTTTGGTTGTTATTAATTATTTGCCTAGGAAGATTATCTTCATTTGTTTGAGCCAATTACATTAATTCACTTTTGTTTGTACCTGCGATCATTTTATTGTTCCCTTGCAGTGAAACAGTTATTATATTCAGTGGTTAAAAAAATTCTACAATGGAAAAATAAACCCTTTTGGTTGGGAAATGCTAATTTAGAGCATCCTACGGAAATGAGTATTATTAATTTTATGAGCTGATATACATATACTTTAGCTAGTACAAGCTTGTGCCAGTTGTAAGTCTAAGTAATAATTACATTTATCCAGAAGTCATGTTTAAGACCTAAACTCCTTGACATTGGTTTTCTTAAGAATAAAACAGCTCAGTAGAGCCCATTTTCAGTACTTGACCTGGATGTATTAGGTGCATCCTGCATGTTTTGGGATGAATGAACTGTAAGTCTGTCTCTAAGACCGCCTAGCATGCTATGAGAGCTGAGGGTCCTCCTTTGTTACCTGCACTCTCCATTTCAAACATTTCCTCAGTTGCTTCAATAGAAACGTCTACTAAAACTCGCAGTAGGAAGTATTTCCACCACTCTACCACAGCGGTAATCTGGGCCTTTCTTTGAGTTAGTGGTAGACACAGGATTTCCTCCTGCTTTGTTTCTCTTTAAAACAAACAAGACAGCTCTCAGTTTTCTGGTAATTATTATATGAAACAGCTGCACCATCAGAGGCTTTTTACAAAATACTCAAAGCCTTAAGAAGAAAGTCTGACACCGAGTTTCCCTAGGAAAGGCATCCCAGACCGCAATGGGATACACGTGAATCAGGAGTGATGGTGGACACCTTTAATCCGAGCACTCAGGAGGCAGAAGAAGGAACATCTCTGTAAACTGGAGGCCAGCCTAGTCATTTACAGGCCAGCCAGGATATATAACAGTGAGAGCCTTCCCTCCATGGTCCATTCCTCCCCCCCCCCCACAAAAAAAAGCATAAGAGACTTTAGTTTATAACCTAGATTGAATGCTACTCATCCCAGGAATAGAACCTGACTTTAAATGTCACAAAGTCTTCAAGAACAAAGTACAGGAGACTGTGTATGTACAGTTTAGCAACCTATATTAAGCTTTAACAAATGGACAAATAAAGAAAAGTACAAAAAGTTTGGTGTCCACTTGGTTTTTGTACAAGTAAAGGTTACAATATTTAGGGCAACTTAGAAAACTATCTTTAGTTTCTTATTTAGAAAAAAAAAACTGGATCAAAATATTATTGGCATATTGTTTTCAAATTAGGAACGTATCATAAATGTGTGGCTAAATGCCATCTTACGGTAGAGAGCAAGTCCTACTAAATCAGAGGAGGAGGTAGGGAAAGAAACTGAAAGGGGGAAGGGCGGGCTCTCTGCTCGGGGCTGCTGCTGTGTCTTCTGCTTCTCCCTTCTGAAAGAATCCCATGGCCCAGAATCAACGCTAGTGTCATTTCCTTGCTGGTGAGATGCGGTCCAGAGGTTAACAGTACAGGCATCACGCGGGAGCTTTCAGGAGCATGCCCCGCCCTTACTGATCACCATCTGTTCTTCCTCACACTTCACAGGTGATGACTGACAAGTACGGAAACCAGTGTGTTAGTCAACATTATGACATCAAAAGCTCCTTTCATAACTTCTTTATTTACTAAAGGTATGTTAGCGTGTGGTGGTTTTATGAGGCATCCTCTACCTATGTGAAATACAAGTCGTGCTGGGTGCGATGACTTGGTGGATTTTGTGGGTATTTCACACTTGTTGTGGTCTATATAATCAGAGGCTAGGGGCCAGGAAAGTAGAGAGTCAGCCACAAATTGTTCCCTGGGTATTATCATCCTGGGTATACTCACAGAGACATCTAATGTAATCATAAGAGCTGCCGAGGGCAGCCGTCTATGAGGTACAGAACAAATCTAAAGGGTTGAGTGCCTAGAACTAAAAGCTAACAAACACAATTGGTCTGCAGCTAAGAAGGGGGCTCTCAGGGGTCACTGACGCTAGGTGTGATGGCTATCATTAATTGTTAACCTGGTGTCTAGGAGACCGTCCTTCTGGCCCACTTGTGAACAGTTGTCCGGAGTAAGGTTAGCCTCAGAGAAGATCTGTGAGAGACTGTCTTCATTGAGTTGGTTGATACAGGAGGACTAATCTTAACTATGGGAGGGGCCATTCTCTGTGCAGGAATCCTAGGCTTTCTAAACGGGGAGG